TTCGCATCCCTTCGCGCCCGCTGAAGCCAACCCCATGAGGCGATTGCCAGAAGGAGCTGTTTGTCAAAGGCTAATAAACAAATTCCTCGCGAACACCTGAATGAACGAGGGCCAGGAAGAACAACCCAATTAAGAAACGGAGCTACTGGTTGTTTTTTTGTGGCGGTGGAAACAATCCGGGCTCGAAAAGGCTCTATTCAGCGGGCGCTCCGAGAGGTCTGTTTGCAGCGCGCTATTGTTGTCAGAAGCCAAATAAAAGTTCAGCTGGGGGGGGGAAGAGTGATTAAAAACAACATTCGCCTCTGCCTCCTGAATGCACTGGGAGGCTCAGTACAAAGGAATCGATCTGTACCCAAACGACGCTGCCCAGGTTTTACCCGGGCACTTCACATTTTTGGTCTTAAATGTTGTTATTTTTAATGATGCCATCAAAAGTACACCCCTCGCTTTCCCGTGTACGTGAGCAGCGGGGACAACCGTAGCCTGTGTCCGGTGCAAGAGTGGAGATCCATGAGGAGAGGTGCTGGGGAAGTCACAGAATGGAGTTGAGCTCATTTGTCGGAACTAATGATTTGTTCTCCCTCTGGCAGGGCTGGAGGGTCGGTCCAGCCGGGGCAGCCCCGCAGCGGGGGGGGCAGCCCCGCAGGCAATCTCGAGCTTTTGGGGTTTTTTTATGTGACACTGTTAGATGGGAAATAAAAAAATCTAACAATCTTGGGCTGCAGAACCAGCCTGAAATGATGCGTTTAGCAGCCACGTTACCACACTGGAAACTTCTGGGGGAGGGCGTGGATGGGAGCCTAAACCAGGGATCAAACTGAGCAGCACGTGAACTTTTATCATGAGCATCGCTAAAAACCTGGGCATTTTCGGAGGATGATCTTAGGGAGGGTCAGCAGGGTCCAAACGAAAGGGACGCGCAGTTCCCTTGTCTGGGCAAGTTTCGAGGACAAGTCCTCGCTCATCTCGGTCGGGAGTTAGGCTGGGGACCAGGGGAGATGTTTTAATAATAGGATTAAAAGGGTTCGGTTTGGTGCGTGGCATTATTCTTTAAAAGCCAGCGATCCTCCCTGACACGGTTCCAAGATTCCCCCAAGCTCTGCTGGGGCTGCAATTAACATATATTAATGGCTGTCGCTTATTAAGCGCTGATTGCGTAGGAAGCAGACGGTCCCTTTCAAACGTGCCTTTTCAACCGTTTTTATCACTTCTTTTTCTTCTTTTTTTTTTTTTTTTTTTTTTTCTGGGTGCTTTTGCCTGAAAACACACGAGCTACATCTCTCGTTTCCTCGGGGCTCCGTAGCGAGCCCTGGCGAGTTGTCCTGTGCTGGTGGTCCCCTCTCCAACTCTGTTAATTGGTAACACCCGGGCACTTCACATTTTTGGTCTTAAATGTTGTTATTTTTAATGATGCCATCAAAAGTACACCCCTCGCTTTCCCGTGTACGTGAGCAGCGGGGACAACCGTAGCCTGTGTCCGGTGCAAGAGTGGAGATCCACGAGGAGAGGTGCTGGGGAAGTCACAGAATGGAGTTGAGCTCATTTGTCGGAACTAATGATTTGTTCTCCCTCTGGCAGGGCTGGAGGGTCGGTCCAGCCGGGGCAGCCCCGCAGCGGGGGGGCAGCCCCGCAGGCAATCTCGAGCTTTTGGGGTTTTTTTATGTGACACTGTTAGATGGGAAATAAAAAAATCTAACAATCTTGGGCTGCAGAACCAGCCTGAAATGATGCGTTTAGCAGCCACGTTACCACACTGGAAACTTCTGGGGGAGGGCGTGGATGGGAGCCTAAACCAGGGATCAAACTGAGCAGCACGTGAACTTTTATCATGAGCATCGCTAAAAACCTGGGCATTTTCGGAGGATGATCTTAGGGAGGGTCAGCAGGGTCCAAACGAAAGGGACGCGCAGTTCCCTTGTCTGGGCAAGTTTCGAGGACAAGTCCTCGCTCATCTCGGTCGGGAGTTAGGCTGGGGACCAGGGGAGATGTTTTAATAATAGGATTAAAAGGGTTCGGTTTGGTGCGTGGCATTATTCTTTAAAAGCCAGCGATCCTCCCTGACACGGTTCCAAGATTCCCCCAAGCTCTGCTGGGGCTGCAATTAACATATATTAATGGCTGTCGCTTATTAAGCGCTGATTGCGTAGGAAGCAGACGGTCCCTTTCAAACGTGCCTTTTCAACCGTGGGGTTTCTCTCTCTCGCCTTCAAGTTGGATTGTGCTGCAAACTCCTGAGCTCCCCTCACGCTCCTTTCTCACCCAAAAAAAAAAAAAAAAAAGGAAAAAAAAAAAAAAAAAGAAAGAAAAAAAAAAAGCGCAGGGCTTCTCTGCTCCCTGCCTTTGACAACTGTATTTACACGACCCCAAGTGTTCCCTCCCCGGTCCCCACCGGACACATGGGGCCCTCCGGCCCCGGACGGCTTCTCCCCCAGTCCCGGGGAGGGAATTTCAGCAAATGGCTCCGGTCATGAGGCTTTCCCCCGCCCCGTTTATTGCGCTGGCGGGGTCCCCTGGTACCTTCTGCCCTTTCCCTGCTTTACAGCGGCTCCGGAGGCTCCATCCCCTTTCCCGGGACACGGGACGGGGAGAACCGAGAGCGGGCGGAGGCTCCAACTCGCATGTGGCTGTCGAGGGGCTGGGGGGATCGGACCTTTTAAAGCGCTCTGCGGGTAACGGGGGTATAACGGGGGTATAACGGGGCTCACCTCGCTTCCTCCTTCCCCCCTGTAGTTTTCGAAGGAGGGGAGCTACTTCTCCTCTTCTCACCGGGAGCAGTGGGGTGCCAACCGCTCCGAGCCCCCCTTCCCCGTCCTCCATGGGGACACCCGGCCGCAGGTGCCACCTCGCCGCGGTACAGCCGGGGAGGAGCCGCCCGGGCTTTGCTGCTGGCGGAGACCGGTGAGTTACTTCCCCGGCCAGCTCCGCGCCCCGGTGCGCAGCGCCTGCGGAGCCCCGCGTCCGGGCAGGGGGCTCAGCCGCCGGGCGGGGAAGGAGAGGACCTGGTTTCTGGCTCGTCTCTCGGCTGTTGAAGTGGCTCAAGGAATCCCACCGAGAGTTTCCCGTGCACACCCGTCGCTAATACCGAGGCAGGAGGGGTCGAGCAGCGCGTCCCTGTGCTCACCCCTTCTTCTGGAAGTAGAGGTCAGCCACATTTTTAAGTATTCTTCAGAAAATGTGCGTCATGGGAACCCCAGCGCACTGGGAGCATTGGAGGGAGCTGTGAAATGTGGAAAGGCACGAGTCCGTACTTACTTTTTAATACAGTCAGGTCCAGTTCATCTACAAGACTAGCGATGTTTCAAGAGAAACGTCTTGCTTTGAAATAATATGCGTCTTAAAGTATTACATAGCGTGGCCTTTGGAAAAAAAGTGGGATAATTGGAGTCTCAGGCGGCGCAAAGACAGATTGAAAGACAAGAGTCTGAAACTTAACATTGTAATATTTATTTAAACATCGAAGGGAACACCGTTCACGGAGCTTTCAGCGTGTTCTCCGATTCCATATACCGCCCGACTTTTCGGTGCATGCAAACGTGTCCGGTCCCTCCAACAAACGTTCATATAAAATAATTTCAAAGAGTTGTCAGTTCCAAAGAATACTCACTCCGCTTTCCAGCCCAGCCTGGCACGTCTCAAACCCCGACTGGAGCGCTCTGAGCTTAAATACAGATGTCCGAAGCTTTTCCAATATGTTGCAAAAGTTACAAATGAGCTACTCCCGAGGTGCGACACCTCCTGAAACATCACTTTCCGCTATCCCCCCTGTCCTCTCGGGCTGCAAAAATTTCGGCTTCACCCAAAAACACACCAGCAGCAAACCAAACAAAAAAATTACACCATAGCTCGTGGCAAGTGGGATTTATTTCCCCTTCGACTTTGTTAAATAGATTATTTTTGTCAAAAAAAAAAAAAAAAAAAAAAAGAGATAGAAATCCGTACAAAACGAGTGGCATCTTCCACTGCTAAATCACAGCAGTGCTCAGATCCACTCAAAATAAAAATCCCACCGTGACACCGTGCTGCCTCCGGAGAACCACCATTGCCGGGCTAATTTGGCTCGTTTGGGTCCCCCGGCCGCGGGAAGCCCTGAGCGGGGCTG